CTCAATTCATACGAAATTTCATGCAAATATGTTCAAGGAATAAAAAGTTTCATACAAACTTTTATCCCCTATTTCACCCCCTTGGGGGTTGAATTTTGAAAAATCCTTCCTTAGTCATATGAGGAATACGTGTGCAAAATTTCAATTTTCTAGCCCTAAGTAGAGTAGTGTGATGGTACCTAGTTATCTACCTAATTTTATTTTAGCTTTTAGAATATTACTATTACCATTACCATTCGCCATCACTATTACCTTTCTTTTCAATAAAAACGATTTACTTAATATTTTTTTTTGCTTATTTTATTTTTTAATACTAAGTTATTTATCTTTTGAATTAAAATTATATGATATTTTATTAATATTTCAATGTTCACATTTTTATTGGCTTGTCGTTCTTACAGCGACGAATATTAAAGTTATTTTTTTGCTGTTATTTTGTAGGCTCAAAAGAGAACCGATAATATCCGTTGCTACAATTTGCTATCTAGAAGTTAACATAACAGGTACGTACAATCTACATATAAATAAATAATTAAATAAATATGTTTGGACTTTAACACACAGCACCATCTAGTTCCAAGGTAAGCTACGAGGCTTGTGTTATGGATACCAGATGGTTGATACATTACCGCCAACCTCTCAACTCCGAGTTACTACTGAGAAAGACTACGGATCGGGTCAAGTTTAATTACTGAGTTTTTCTGAAAAGAAACTTTCTGTAAAGGGGCATGAACCTAGGACCTCCAGATCTGCAGCCGTTCATGCTAGCATCTAGACAACCGAGGCAGTTAATAATAACGACACTGAGCGAGTTTAACGTTTAAATACTGTAGTATCATTATTATACAATTAAGATTAGTCCATTTATCACATTTTTATAAAAACGTCTTCATTATAATTTTTTCTTGTATTAACAGAAAAAATATGAATACAACAATATGAAAAATTCCGTAACGTCAATAATAGTTCTTAATTAACAAAACGACCCTCAACTTATTACAAGGTACTTGTAAATTAAAAAATCTTCCGTAATTATAAATGTTAATCATAGCATTTTAATAGTTTATCATGTCTGTCTGTATGTCTGACCGACTCCTCAATCATTTGAAGAATGGGGTGAGAAGTTTTGAGAAAAAAATCCAAAATGTTTTCAAAGCCTATAATTTTGAAGATATGTTACGTTTGGAGTTTTTTTTTTCTCATAGTAATACTATAAAATACTTGAAACTTATTTATGCCATCAATAAAATATATCTTATTTTAGTTTTAACGTCAGAAATATGTACATATTATGTATGTGCAAGTCAGACTCGCACTTGTCCCATTTATTTTCAATAAATGGCGAACTGTCAAAAAGGTTTTTTTAAGGAATTATGACGATTAAATATTTTTACTTGACGATAGTTTTATTTAAAAGTTTTTGGGAGTTCATCCATTTTTTTACTGATAAATAATTGTTCAATATCACCTAGGTCATTTTATCTATCAAGGACTGGGACTCTATGAAGCTTGAGGAATCCGACTGGATGGTACCACCCCTTTATCTATTTCTCCCGCCAAGCGACAATGATCGCATTATTGTGTTCCGGTTTGAAGGGTAAGGTATAAATAATATAATAACTTTCTCCAGACCGATTCCGGCCACGGCGGCCAATCTCATTGAGACTAGCCAACTGCGCAGGAGATATTATAGTGCACAAGTGTACGCGCAGACACAACGTGCACTCTCTATTCCTGTCACTCTCATACTCCAGTGGGACGACTGCTCGACACGACCGGTGAGAGTTATGGCGCAGGACCGACGGCTTTACGTGCTCTCCGAGGCACGGGGGTGTAACACCGCCAACTTCCTAACTCCGGGCTGTTACTGAGGCTTACTATACAGAAAGACTCAATAACTAAGCTTGGCCCGACCCGGGACTCGAACCCATGACATCCGGGTGTGCAGCAGTACATGCTAGCCACTACACAACCAAGGCAGTCAGTTTAGTTAGGATAAGGTAGACAGCGCAATTACAGGCAAAAGGCATATCATCTTAGTCCACATAGTGACAAGGCATCTGGTTCTGCATTTTTGTTACATAAATCCTAAGTGCAAGAACCGTAGGTGCTATTTGCGACAGATACCGCTTTCCACCAGGTGTGCTGTCTGCTCGTTTATCACTGAGCACCATAAAAAAATATATTTTGTAGCCTTGATGATTTCAGAACTTTAGTTCATGAGGTAATAAATTCAGTGGCGAAAGTTGACATTTTAGCAAACGTAAACCGTTCCAAAAATATACAATTTTTATATACGTATTGATGCAAAAAGAAATAAAGCTATTATTATATAGATATATATTTACAAACGAACATTAATAAAAATAATTTTAAGGTAAGACGCTAGAAGCGCTAAAGTCTGCTGGCTTTGCAACTAAAATTACACCGACTTCAAATCCTTCTTAGTATGTACTTATTCAACCTTTAGCATGATTTTTTCTTAAGATTCACATGTGACTATTTTTGAATTAATATATAACTCTAACCTATTTTAATTAATGAAAAAGGTCGATTAAGGTCATAAAAGACAGAACAGAACAGACTCTTAAAAAAATATTATATGTATGTATAAGTACCATTTATTAAAAACAAAACATTTATTTAATTACTAGCATTGCTCGCGGCTCCGCCCGCGTTCAGATGACCAAAAACCAAATTCTTAGGTTTTATATATAAGTATACTCTTACATTGCAGTTTTTGTAATTTTTCTCAGAAATGAGATATTTTCCCTCGGTAAAAAGTACTTAAATACCAAATTTCATCAAAATCCCTCCGGTGTATGTATGTAATGTACAGATTCGGCTTAGTTACAATTTTATTATATGTATAGATAACCTATACTAGTATTAAAAAGAGGTAAAGTTTGTGAGTTTGTAGGGAGTAATCTCTGGAGATTAAGACCCTGGGAAGGACATAGGATAGTTATTATCCCGGAAATCATTCCTTAAAGAGATGAAAGTTTGTATGGGGAATCAAGCTAGGGACGAACCCGAGCGAACCGAAAGTCAGTCGCTAGTGTTATATAAAAATATCCAATTAGATCAGATAACTGTTAAACAAATTATATTTTTTTCATTAAGGAAATAAAAGGCTTATTATTATTATTAAGTACCATTTAATACAATATTAACTAAAGTACAGAATTTTATAACTCAAATTCAAGAACACAATGTTTTTGACCTTCACTAAATAAATTCTATGAATGTTACATTATTAATATGTATGTTTTAATCTAAATATATAAAATTTAATTGCTGTTGTTAGCCTCGCTAAGACTCAAAAACAGCTGGATCGATTTGAATAATACTTTTTTTTCTTTTGTTGAGGATGTGTTAGGAGTGGTTTAAGTATAAAAAAAATAGAGAACACCCAAAAGATCAGGTTAAAAATCGATAAGCTCAGAATTGTTTATTTTGTATGGGAATCATTAACCGTTAAAATGTATTAAGGGGACTAGGGACGAACCCGAGCGAAGCGAGGGTGAGTTGCTAGTTTTTAATATAATTCCTAATCACTATATCACATTCCTAAGCATTTTGGCGGACTCCACATATTTCGAAAACTTGTTAGGTTCTCTCAAACATGCAGGTTACCTCACGATGTTTTCCTTCACCGTAAGTCAATTTAGAATGGATTCGACATGAAAATATCAGATATACAAGATCCGGGATTTGTACCCGCTTCACTCGGTTTCCCAAGCTAAAGCGCTACCACTGAACTATCACTGCCTCTAAATAATATTATGTATTTAATATAAATTTTCTGATAGCCATAATGTTGTTAATTTAATTTGCGTAATTTAAATAATTTTATTATATAATAGCCTATAGGTAATAATATTTTTTCAAAACGGTTTTAAACTATTGAAAATGAAATTAGAATAAAGCTTGAGAATACTTGTAAAATGGATTTTAAAATATTCATATTTTTAATCAAATTTTAAATAAAAGCTCATATTTTAAAGCTATACATATATGGGTAATACTTTCTTAGATTTACGCGAATATTTGATATTTAAATAAAACTATCTTTTCGGATTATTTCGCGGATTTATTTTGATTCTTAGTTCCCGACGTTTCAAATGCTTTACAGCAATCATAGTCAAGGGAGAGACTAAGGTTATACACGTCTCAAACACATAGAATTGTTACAGAATTAACTTTTTTTTTATAAAACATTTTAATAAACATAATAAAATCTAACAACAAAAACAAATATAACAGACCAGTACATGTAGTTAGTTCATACTGTGTGGATCGCAATAATGACAGTAATTATGATTAAATATATTTTTTGTCTATAAAGGTAGCAATAGTGTAGCTTAATATTTTAATTATAAATAATATCAATCTAAATTAATATTTTAACTTTTTTTAAATTACATATAAAACAATAATATTGCTTAGATAAATAATTATAATTTTTTAATTTTTATTATTCTTTAAGGTTATACATAATATAATAATAGCAACACTAAATGGACAAATATGATAAGGTACTTTATTGCCATTTTTGAATTTTTGAAATCATTTTTATAAAATAGTAGGTAAGCACTGTCTGTAACAAGTATATGTGTTTCTTTAACCTTAGTCTCTCCCGTGACCATGAATCATGGTCCATGATTACTGGGAAGCATTCGAAACGTCGGGAAACAAAAATCAAAATAAATCCGCGAAGTAATGCGAAAAGATAGTTTTATCTATATAAATATTTTTTTGAATTCTAAAAGAAAAATTTAGAAATCTAATTAGTACAAGAAAAGCTGGGTTTTAGTAACTTTGAACCCGTCTTGTTATAAGATGACCTATCTTATAACCTTAAAAATAGCAACACTACAATGGGAAACAAATGTTATTTTAGTTTTTTTTTACAAAAAAAGTCCATTGTTTTATGGGTAAATAATGCTTGGGCAATTTTAAAGGGCTTAATTGTGTAACTTTTATAAAAAAAAACTTACAATCTGACAAGAATCCTGCTGCATATCCCTCTATTGCTTTTGAACTATATACAGCGAATCCATATTTAGTAAATATCAATATACACAGTAATATATAATTCATTTTCACTCTACAATTTTATTCACAATATTTAATTAAAAAGCCTTGAAGGCACGTCCAATCTCGCACTACTCCAATGTGTCAATGTAAGTATTATGCTTAATGCTTATATCTTTAAAAAAAGATTCTATCGTTTCCAGAGAAATATTAGGCCCAATTTACACAATAGTGCCGATCACAGTTCGTTCTAGATCCAATATCGATCTGGTAAAGTTTTTTTATGCAAGAAGCAATGAGTACATTAACACTATCAGAAAAAGTCAAGTTCCAACCCTTCTTGTATAAAAATACTTCACAAGACCGATTACGAACCGAGAACGGTCTGTGATCGACACTTCAGTCTGTATCGGCCCTTATACGTGTTGTAGATAAAAGTTTTACTAATCCAATACCTCTATGTGATAATATTAGTGAAGTTTTGTATCTGTACATAATATCTAGATCTATTATATAGTAGGTTTACTGTATATTTGCGTGATAACCTAAACGTAAAAAGATTTGGTATCAACATTAATCAATCAAATAAATATTTTCCATGATTTATGTTTAGTGTAAACTTACCAGTAGTAGCCCAGTGGTAACGTGTTTGCTTTGGAAAACAAGTGAAGCAGGTTCAAATTCCGGGTCTCGCTATAATATTTTCATGTGCGAATCATTTCCAACATGGAAACCGCTTGTCTTACGATTAAGGATAACATTGTAAGGAAACCTGCATGTCTAAGAGAACCTAGCAAATCCACCACCAGCACTCGGTCAGCCTGGTGGACTATAGTCTGTTTAAATGGGAGGCTTGTGCCCAGTAGTGGGACGTTTAAAAGAGTATATTATATGGTATATATTTAACATTAGCGTTTACGCCCTGCGAGGCTTACTTTTCTTAAGGATTCTAGCGACGTTAGACGCTCTATAACCTTTTTCTAGGCTCTAAACTGCAAACAATCAAAATACAAATAAAGCTCTTAAACTCTATAATATTAAGATTTTTATAATTAATAGTAAAATTTTGTTGGCCCAAACCATTTTCAAATCAATAATAATTGTAAATGGTAGCTTTGATCTTATAATTTGATGCGGTAACAGACAGACTGACAAACCCAGATATGTGTTCACCTTGACGTCGTGGGAGTCATTAGCGTCCGGCCATCCAGCCGGGCGTGACACCAAAAGAAACACCGTCCCCAAGTAAGTGAATCCCATATAACCATCTGTATGTATCGAGATGGTATGCGCATTTACCTACGATTGTTAAAAATAGCAAAAAGAGGTTATATTTAAATACTAGTTTACCTTTTGTATTAAAAATCAAATTGACTTATATTATTAAAAAATATATTTTTGATCTATTTATATCACCTTGTATTATTTCTACTTTCGGTAGCTACCCTTGGAAGACTACTACTAAACACAAGTGTTAAATTTTAGGGGTCGTTGTGTACCTACCTCCCTCAATTTTTCCACATAACCTTCCTTTTTATGATATGTACTATCTTGCTCGAATATTATCTCGTTTTTAATTATTAAAACTTTATTATTGTTACAATTTTTTGTTTCACTTCAATTTTACAGCTTGCCATATTATGGTAAATAGAAACTGTCAACTACAAAAGCTTGTAAAACCAGCGACATCACTTGGCCCAGCATCTAAAAGAATGGAGAGGAAGGAAAAGTGACGCTTCTTAATTCTCCGGCACTATCACTCACAGAACCAAATTCTAGTATAGTAAAGTATAGTAAAGTCTAGTTTAGTATTGTGTCATCGTAAGGAGGATATGTTTCTTTTTAAATCATTGATTTAAAGATCAAGATATAATTCTAAAGGTCTAAAGCAAGTTGTGAATAAAAGCTAAGAATATTTAATTCTTAAAAAATATTACGTAAAGTAAGATATAAATAAAACATAAACAATTTTGTAACTTATTTTAAACGTATATATACTAATTTCGCACACAATGACTCATTAGCGAAAAATCCATTGTATTTGTTTTGCAGTCACGGTAAGATTATTATCGTTTAAGGCTTAAAACTCCATTTTTTTTTTCTATAATACCAAAAAAAGTACTTTCCTTTACTTCTATATAATGCTAGTGTCAACTTTAAAAAAAAAACTACTCTAGGGGTTTTACCTCGATTTTGTTGCTCTATCCGGTGCCACAAAAGAATAATTCTACTATCTTAACGATAAACTCATAGGATAATTCAGTCAGTTAGAGTCTCAGTAAGTCGAACCTCATTATATCGAAAATCTCTACGAAACTCGAACAAATACTTCATCCCCTTCCTTTCAAGCCCAACACTTGTATTTCTCGATATTTGATTGAGAGTCCCAAATATTTAGTGCTAATGGCTCGTCCTTATTATAGCGTACCATTCAGTTAGTGCCTCCTTTGGACAAATTTTATTACTGATAAATAACCTGCGTTATTCCAGATCATCTAAATCTATTCTATCTCTATCCTAAACGATCAAATCGAGCCATTTTAGTGAGTAACACACACACGCACAATCATACACACAAACATTTTTATCTATACATATAATAAAATTGTAACTAAGTCGAATTTGTACATTAAATATTTTTTGGAAAATCTAATTGAAATAGACATTATTATCGACACAGAGTCCGATTCTATAGTTTTTAGAATTTTTGTCTGTCTGTCTATCTGTTACCGAATCACGAGAAAACCACTGGACAGATTTGATGAAATTTGGCATGGTATGATGGTAGGTATGACGATAGCTGGTTATCCTGGTCAACATATAGGATACTTTTTACCACGGGAAAATATCTCATTTCTGAGAAAAAATACAAAAACTGCAATGTAAGAGTATATAATATGTAAAACTTAAGAATTTGGTTTTTGGTTATCTGAATGCGGGCGGAGCCGCGGGCAATGCTAGTTTATAATAATTCCGTGATTACCTTATAAGGCCTAAATTAGTATTTTAGTAGATACTAGATACATAGGTAGTACTACCTATCATACACACACATATATACATATCCTCTCATAACTCGAAAAATTTGACCTCTGTATCTGGAACAAACCAATATTTATTTCTACTATCTCTACAGCTCAATAGTGTTAGTTTAAATAAAATAAGTGATTTTTTTTTGAAATAACGTTTACACTTTACATGTACAGTAAAATAAGTACCGATTCTATGAAAAGATTAATGGGTTTTATTTATTTGTGGTACCTGTGACTTTTCTTTGTTTAGATAGGTTATACTCGTATGTCACTGCATTTAGGCACGATGTGTGCGACTCACCAGCAAAGCCAGTACTACCCACTAAAATCTTATATTTTACTAAATTAACAACACTAACAAAACCTAGTTTTTATAAAAATTGAGATTCTATTTTTATATTTTGTACTTAAGAACTATTAATTAAAGCATGAATAAGCAAATAGACAGATGAATTTTCTATTATAAACTCGTATTTTCTACAACCCATACACAAGGGGGACCCAAAGAATCATTTTCCAAAAGTTTACTTGATCTCTATCACAAGTTTGTTGTGATAAAGATCAAGTAAGTGATGTTTACAGTACAAATGATGGTGATCAAGTACGATTCTCGGAAATAAATAATAATTTTATAATATAATTATATAAGTTATTATATGTAAGCCATTTATAGGTATATTCATAGGTCACAGATCGTTTCGATTATAAGTTATTATAGTGCATGATAATTAAGAAGTTGCAAATAAAGTTTTATTCTAAGGCATACGATATACATAGAACATTGTAATATCTACAGACAACTTTTATTTTCCACTAGTGACTTATTACGTATTCCTAGGTGTCATAGAGTATCCTGTGTAACTAGCTCATAAACAATATATAAACCTTTCATAATCTCCGAAATCCGTCCAGTCGTTTAAGCGTAAACGTATAACAAATACATATACGCACATACATATAATATATACATACAAATCATCGCAATAATAAAACAGCAGTCCGATGTGCATTTGGATTTGTCGTTTATTAAAGCAGTATAGTTAGATTTCATTATTATACTGGTTTTAAAAAATGTAATTCTTACTTTCGTTAACTAGATATGCGTTTTCCTTAACAATGCTTGAACATGATGTTTTTATCTGTGAATCTCATCAATTAATCTGTTCAACTGGCCTAAAAGTTACTAAACTTAACTAGCAATTTTATTAAAATTTTTAAGCATTTTTTTCATGTGACATTTATACCATGCGTTTTGTTATGTTTTTATTCTGCGGGAACAAATTCTTTTCTCACAAACAACACCCAGATTTTCTTTTTTTGAGTTTTAATCACTCTTTTTTACCTTTTTTCTAACGTTGGGAAAAGTATTTACGCGAACCACCTGCATACATACAGTTTGAAGTTTCGATGTCAGCTTAAAAGAAATTGATACAACTACCATCGTCAATAAAAATTTATTTGAATCAACTTTTCTATCCATATGATAATATATTTTCTACATAAATACATAATATTATGTATGTAGATAATAACGCCTAAACAAAATATTATAGCAAAATATCAAAATAGTACTACAACGAACGAAAATGAAATGCAAAATCATGAGATACGTTTATTGCTCTATAAAATATGTAGGAATATGAAATGTATTTATACTTATTACTTACTATTGACTTATTATAAAGAGGTAAAGTTTGTGAGTTTGTGACGTTGTAGGGGGTAATCTCTGGATCTACAGAATCGATTTAGATGAAATTTGGTAAAAAGATAGTTTGAGACCCAGGAAAGGACATAGAATACTATTTATCCTGGAAATCATCCCGTAACGGGGTGAAAATGGGGATGAAAGCTTCAAGCTAGGGACGAACCTGAGCGAAGCGAGGGTGAGTTGCTAGTCATTAATATAATTGAAATGTACCTAATCCAATGACTGTGATTGTGTGGTTATTTGTACTGAACTTAAACCCTAACAAACTGTGTTCTGAACTCAAACTTTAACAAATTGATTGTTTGGGAATTTCACCGATGAGTAGA